CCATTTTTAATTTGCAGTCTTTATGTTCTGACATGGCATGGTACTGGCACCTCCTATTAATTAAGCTCAGTGACTCTCTACTTCAATAAGTCTCTTCTAAGTTCATAGGCAAGGTTTCATTTTCTTACTCAAATTTTTCTTTCACTGCTCTGGAAAAGCACAATTATCTCATTTAAGGCACCAACTCAGTTCATCCATTGATGCCAAAGCTTCTCACATGGCTGCAACTACCATGATAAGCCTAATTTGTTTTCATCCTGAGTGCCTTAACTCACCTCTGCTCAGTTTAAAGTACAAAACAGAGTGTCAGAAAGTGGAACTGAACACTTTGCACATGAGAATTAACTTACCAGACTCAATGCTAACTTCTCCTAACTTCAGATGAGCTTGAGCTGCATGGAGCTGAGCTTCTTTTGTTTCTTGTCTAAATCAAGGAAAAAAAAGAAATAGTTTCCAGGTCCTGATCAGAATATGCCACATTCACTAGCTGGTTATGCCACCCTCCAATTTACAGTTTCTCTGGCATATACCCAAATCAGAACTCAAGTCTTTACCTCTTATAAATGACTTTTGCTAACTCCAGCATGTCCCAGGCTAGCTCAAGATTTCCAATTTCATCCTCCTCACTTTCCTGTAAAGACCAGAAGTTCATGAGAGATTAAATGCCTTGGTTACCGATCACATCAAACACCGCCACTAAATCCCTAAGAATTCCTTCAAGAGGTAAACAGTTTACCACTAGAAGGAAAAAAAGAACAGGACTATGCAGAAGAGGTTATTGCATCAATCAAGACTCTGCCTGCAGTGAAGATGGTTCAGTGGAACATAAACTGTCTGTTGATATGGCCTTATTAATTTTTTTCCCCCAGAAATATCAGGGCACCAAGCACCAATATTATATTACCTCAAGAGGAAGATTTTGTTTAAGGTGCTATTTAGATCTTTTTTTTTTTTTTGTAATGAACCTTTGAACTTTATTAGAGTAGTCTGAGGAAGGGACAATCATTTAAAGACAGTTATCTAGAATGCAGCTCTCCCTGCCTGCCCCTGCACTCCAGGCCACGTTACTCAGCAGACCAAAAGAATCTGCTGAACAAACCCAAGTTTACAGACACACTGATCAAGATCCCACAGTGTGGACGAGGTGCAATTCCCTAGGCAATACTGGCTTTCAAAAGTAATTTCCTACACAGAACTAAATAAAACACAAGTGAGCTTTTATAACACGATCTTTAGGGTAACACTGCACCCTCCCCTGAGCGCCGCTATCAGAGCTCAGCACCCTCACCTTGTCTTCCACTGTCAATTCATTCTCTTTATCATCTTCAGCTTTATCGTTTTCTTTATCCTCCTCCTCAGATTCTTCTGCTTCTACAAGGCAAGTAGATGGATGAGAACACTTGTTGTTACTGGGCTTGCCTGACGTGGAGTCGGGCAGAATATGTTACATCCAACCCTCATCCTTCCAGTGACAGGTTAGAGGTGTGATGCAAGAAGAGCACAGATACATTGAATTCTCAGCAGCAGCAGCAGCCATCTTGCTGAAACTGTTCAGCACTGTAGACTAAAGCAGTCTGTAAGTTCAACTTCTTACTGCCTACAACAGGGACTTACACAGAATTTAGCTCTCACAAGTACACTGTGAGCTCCCACTGAAGCCACGGGGTCCTGAGCACCCCAGAGGAAATGGGCAGCTGCTCAACTTCATCCTCCACAAAACAAGTATTTTCAGCAAGATAGCTGCCAAGCTGCACACAAATTAGTTCATGTTCCTCATGTCAGGGATTTAAGTGGCAATGTTATTAATGAACCTCCTGTTGTGTAGCACTAATCTGACTTCTGATACCCTGCAGGAGCATCATATTATCTATTCTGCCAGCAGAAAACTTTTTGGGAAAATGTGCAGTGAAGGAGCACGGCTAATAACTTCAGAGAACTGGCTGATCTGAGTGCTGAAGTCACACAACTCCTGTATCACAATCCCTGGCTGAATTCCAGAACAACAGGAGCTTGATGGGGTGGGGATTAGGGAGCCTGTGAACTCGTCTGTCTAACTCCCAAAAAGCACACACCTACCACTGGCAGGGCCAAACCTGTCAACACGAGGACACCTCATCTGTAAGTGAAACAGGAGATGTCAGGACATTAAAATTTTAGTAGTGGGAGGAGTGTGCAGTGACAGCACCAGCCCAGGACATTCAAGAGGGTCCTCACATTTAAAAGAACTGGGGGAAAAAGGCAGCAGTATGTGCACATAGTCAGCCTTTCACAGGACAGTGAGCAGGTAACTACTCTTAGTTTATGTTCAGACACACTCTCTCCCCACAGGCACCTTGTTAGGCTGCTGCTCCACCACTGAGTGTTCACTGTGCTTAGCAGAACAAATCCTTTTGGTGTCCACAACTATTTAGCCTGAACATCTGCCTCTCCTGAAGCTGAGCTACTGACAGGCAAAGCTGCAATTATCAGCTCATCAATTAACTTGTGCAACAGAAGGCACCAGCCTACTAAGGCCACGTCCAGTAACACTGCAGCAAGGGGTGCAAGTCTTGCTGGGTTACTCGAGCAAAATCCTGAAAACAGCTATGATAAAGCAGGGATGCAGAGGGCAGAAGCTGGACAGCTGGAAGACTGTACCAGAGAGCAGCAATAAGCCTTCAGCAAATCAAGTTTAGGTTTGCCAACTAAATTCTCACTAGAAATGGACCACCAGGAAGACTCGAATGAAGAGTTCCTTCCCTCCACCAAAACCGAATTTACTGTTTTGTTACGTGTTCAGCTATTCTCATTTTTTTCATCACCTCAGGCATAACCAGAGGCAACTTGTGCTTCAAGTTATTTGGAGGTTAGTGCAATAAACCCCGATGCATGCAAGTGAACATCCATTCAGTATTCTCCACCAGCCTGGCCATTACTTACACATTTCACAGGGCTGTCAGTTTGCTTTCAAGTCAGATTTGCTCTGCAGTTAGTTAAGCGTTAGTCTAGAGAGACTGAGGCTATTCACTATTCCTTGAAACTTTACTTGGATGTAAAGTCCTTCAAGAGGCCCTTTACTGTGCCTTTTCCTTATTCTAAGGCAAACAGAAAATTCTGAATGGAACACTTTTTACCCATTGTTAGCCAAATCCATCAAGTCATCCACCCACAAGTACTTTTCTCCTCTCAGTGTTACCTTCTCCCTCTTCCATCAGGTCATCTTTCTCTTCTTTTTCTACCTTAGCACCTTCACCCTCTTCCACCAGGTCATCCTCCTTTTCCTCTTTCTCTACCTTAGCAGCAACTTCAGCCTTTTCTTCCAGGTCATTGGGTGGCTCTTTGCCCTCTGTGGGCACAGGTTCCTTTGTGGACTCTGTCTCTTTAGATTCATCTGGTTTCTCTTCCATAGCTGTCTCTACTGGCTCTTGTTTCTCTTCCACCTTCTTCTGCTCAGCTGCCTCTGTTTCCCCTTCTGCAGCTTCTTTCTGTCCCACAGCAGCTGCTGCCTGGGCTTCTGCCTTCTCTTCTGCTCCTGCCTTCTCTTCCACAGCAGTCTCTACCTGCCCTTCTCCAGCCTCTCCCTTCACAGCTGGCTCTTTTTCTGTTGCTTCTGCTGCCTGTTCTCCTGCCTCTCCTTTCTCTTCCACAGCCACTTCTCCCACTTCAGCCTCTTCCCCAGCTGCCTCTGCCTCCTTGCCTGACACTTCTGTTCTCTCCTTCTCCTCAGTTGCCTTCACCACCTTGTCTTCAGGCACTGCTTTCTGCTCTTTTTCTACCTCCTTCTCTTCCACAGCTGCCTCTTCTTTCACAGCCTCCTTTTCCACAGCCACCTGCTGCTTCTGCTCTTCTGAAGTTTCTTCTTTTTCCACAGAAACCTCCATCTTCTCTTCAGCCTCTTCAGGCTTTACATCCTTGTCAGCAGTTGCTTCTTCTTTTGGTTTCTCTTCTGCAACCTCCTTCATTTCAAGATCTTCCTCTTTGATTTCCTTCTCAGACAGTACTGGAGCCTCCTCTGCAGACTTTTTGGCCTCTTCTTTTTCCCCCATGGCGTTATAAACCTGTTCTCTCAACTCCTCCCTCGCTTCTTCTACATGATTGAGGAAGCATAAACATTCCTTCGAGTTTAGTGATAAAGACATTAACTGACAACACCACCCTCAGACCCTCCAGTGTGTGTTGGTTTGTTACCAACTCGGATGACACTCCTTAAAAAAGCTTCATTTTCCAAGGACAAGGAATTAGGACACAACCAACAACAGTCGCTCTGAGCTAAGCAAACCCCTTCCCCAGCATTGCAAGCGGCCGCTCAAGCAGTGCCAGCGATTTTAGTCACAGCTAAGCAAGAGGTGCCAGTGTTTTAATAGCCTGGATGGACAGGAATTCCTGTGTCATCTCCAGCTGCAGGCAGTATAAAACAGTTACTGTTCTTGGACTTTGTTTACAGAGACTCTGACCTGCTGGACTACACACACTGTACTGCTACCAGGTTACAAAGCAGTTCAAGTCAGCGGTGAAGCTTAGGAAAGCAAGCTTGAATGCAGTGTTTCAGGACACAGACACCTGGTGACCCCTGACACGTGCTTTCAGTGACCAGCTCCTTGCAGATGTTTTACAGGTTTTGCTCATCTTAAAGCAAGACTTAAAAAAAAAAAAAAAAAAAAGACCACCAAAAAACCCAGTCCATTCAGACTGCCAAGAGCTTCAACAGAACAGTTCAGGCTACCCAAGATACCAGTGGACTAAATTTGGATCCTTTCAGCAATGACATACAGTTTGGTGCCTCCACACCAGGGCAGGCAGCTTTACCTACCATCGACAGCTGGCAAGGCAGAATCATCATCTGCTTTTTCTCCTTCCTCTTCCACCTGCACCCCTTCCAAGGCATTTCCCAGCACACCATTTTCCATTCTGAAGGGAACAAAAGCTCGTTATCCCTTGGCTCTTGCGATACATCCCCATTTGAACTGCACAAGCTGCAGTGCCACAGCCCATCCCACCCAGGGCAACCCTGTAATCACATCCTAGGGCAACCCTGCCCATAAAGGAATGAAATCCTGTGACACCAGACAGACTCTTCAACAACTGACAAACTGTCACCATACCTTGCCAACTCCAGAGAGACTTTCCATAGTAAAAAAAAGCTTCTGCACACTCATCCGCTGTCTCACCATACTTCTTACCCCTACAAAAACAATGAAGAATTATTTGCATGTGCCTGCTTTAGATTTTGATACATGAACTGGAAAGCTGAATTTTTGCTGGACAGGAAGAAATCAGTTTCTTGGCTCCTCTTTCATTGCTTCAAACCAATAATGAATGCTCCTCTCACTTAGCTTTCATGTGGCTCTCAAACACACGCAAAGGGAATTAATCTTTAACGCAGAAAGTACCACTCTGGTACTGAGACTGATCGAGGCTGGTGAACATGTTACTAGAAAATAACACTCTCTCACTGCTTTTATATTAAAAGAGTCCTGCAAAACAAACTATCAAATCCCTTTTCCTCTGCAGGGAACTGCACTGGCAATTACTATCAGAAAAGCCATCTAAGCTGCACACCAGCATGTCCAGCACCTGGGGGAGTTCAGTTTGTCCCCTCCTCAGTTCTATCGTAAATTACAAACACATGAGGTAAAAATCCCAACCTTTCCCGCGTGAGCCACATCAGAACAGCCAAGCTGAAGCCCAAGCCCTGCAAAAACACCCAGAACGTTCTGCTACTCACAGTAAACTTGCAGCTTCCTGGAATGCATTAACAGCAGCCGGAATATTTCCCATCACCAAGTGCTTCTGCCCCAAACCCAGTAGTTTCTTTGATTCTCCATCCACGTCCATACTGGAGGAGGGGAAAGAAGTCAAATACAGGACACTGTTAGTTTTCACAGTCAGTTCATAGACAGCTCTCAAAACCCAGTCAGCTTTATGGAAGAGTGAGTTGCATAAGTTACAGGGGTTGGAACTACCAGCAGGGATTTGCTTGGCTTTGTTTGTTTAAATGGGGAACAACTTATGGTTCCAATAACCAAGAGATGACAGGAAAATCCAAACCAACCACTGCAGAAAGTATCAGAACCTGGTACAGCAAAGGGTGCTAAGGAATGCACTTCAGGAGATGTACAGAAACATGCCACCAAGTGCCACAGTGTTTCACCAGACTCCAGTGGTGGCTCAGTCAAGAGAAAGAATAAGCCCAAGTTCAGACTTTTCATAGCACAGCACGATGCAGCTGAGAAGAATGACAGATGCAGATCTTAGTTTCCATTCAGTGCATCTTGCACAGCTTTATTTCCAGAAGGCTCTGCCCAGCACAGGATCTCAGACTGGGACAAGAGAGTATTGTCACATGGCAGCCTGTGCCTCCCCAGCACTAACAGACCAAGAACTTCGAGAACAGCTGCTATTTGTGTATTTGTTACTCCTTGAAATGGCTTTGCTGCTCTAGATTTGTGCAAATCACGGGTGAGCACAAGTTTTCAGCACCTACAGCACCCACATCAGTTAAACCCCAAGCCCAAGCACGTGACTCGAAGGGTGACCTTTGTGTTTCAGCCAGTAACTCCTGAATTCCACATTATTTGGCGACCGACACTCCTGACTCCCTCACCTCTCTGTCTTGTCTGTGGACGTGGAAGGGGCTGCCAATTCCTCTTCCATCCTGCAAACAAAACATCGAGCGATTCTTTTACAAGCGCTCACCCACCCCACAGCAGGAGGGGGGGTCAAGCGAGGGGGGAGCGCTGGATTTCGGGCGTCCGTGCCCGCGGGGCGCTCTCGGGTTCGGTGTGCGGGGTTCGGGCCCCGCGCAGACAATGGGCCTTTCCCGCCCTGCCCGGCCCCGCCCCCAGCCCTTGGCCCCGCCCCCCGCCCTTGGCGCCAAACCCCGCGGCGGCTCCTCACGGGCCGCGGGTCACGTGACGCCCCTCCCCTCCCGCGGCGTCGCCTGCCCCCAACAAATATGGCGGCGGCCGCGCCGCGGTCACGTGGTGGCCCCGCGCGAGCCGCGCGGGCCCAGCTGGCGCCGGAGGAGCGGGGAGCGGAACGTACCACCGGGGCGGGGGGGGGGGGACGGGGCCGGTCGGTACCACCGGAGCGGGAAGGGGGCGGGGAGGAAGGTACCACCGGCGGCGGGAGGGGCGCGGGGGGATGCAGGTATTACCGTCGGTGCAGGGGAGCAGAGGGGACAGGCGCGACATCCCGACCGGCACCCCAGCCCTCCCCCAAGGAAATCCTGCCCACCGCCTCACTTACCCCCCACCCCTCCGGGCGCGAAATGTGTCCCCCGCTCCTCTGCTACCCCCTCCCCGACACGCACACACCGCGACCGGGGCCAGCCAGGCCTACCTAGTCGCGGAGGCCGGCGCGGGCTCAACGCAGGGGGGAGCGGCGACGGCCGAGGATTGCATAGAAGCTGCTGGAGAGAGGGGCGGCGGCGGCAGAGTGCAGCCCCCTGCCCCTCGGGCCGCCTATATACCCCCGAGGACACGCCCCGGCCCGCCTGGCGGCGCGCGCGCGCCGCGGGGGGACTACCGCTCCCGGCGTGCCCCGCGCCCGCCCCGCCGCGGGACGCCGGGGGCGCCGCCGCGCGGGGCCCGCCGGGAAGTGTAGTGCCGGCCGGGGCACCGGGGGCCGCCAGGCACGCCGGGAAGTGCAGTCCAGCGGCGCCGCCGGCCCGCCCCGCCGGGAGCCTCTTCCCGGCCTCGCGAATTCCCGGGAGGCCCCGGCACAGCCTCTGCACCCACCGCAGCCCGTGCGAGGCGGGCAGGCCGTGCGCTCCGGCTCTGCCCTGCCCTGCCGCAGCACACGGCCCCGAGCGGGCAGGGCCGACATGGCCGCGGCCCCTCAGGGCGCAGAGCCGCCGGCTCCGCTGCCTCGCTGTTGTTGTTACTAACAAGATAAAAGTTCAGCGCCTCCAACCCCGCTATGTCACTGCACCCAACAGAGCCGGGAAGCGTGGGCTCCACGGAGGTAAAGAGTCAGTCTGCTTCTCTTGAGAACTCTTCCCAGCCCACTTACCCCTGGTTGGAGAAATAACCGTGCAAAGTTAATTGGGGCCCTGACATAAGAGAGGGAGGGGGGAAAAAAGTCGCAAAGTCGTACAATGAGTACAGAATTTATTTAAGACAAGCAAACGTGCAAGGGGAACACAAGCAAGGAAAGCCACCGTCCTTGGCAGGATGACTGCTGTGAGCGGTGCACAGTGTGCCTTCAAACACGACTGCTTCCCCAATGACTGCAGCAAGAACCGTATTCAAACTCACCCGTGTTTGATTAGAACAATTAAAAAAAAAACCACACAACAGGATTTTCATTTTCCTTAGGAGTAAATGTCCAGTCTCGTAAAGATACCTGACTGAGCTGCATTGGCTTTTTCCACTGAGGTAAATTCAACAGGAATTAGAAAACATTTTACCAAGAAACAGGAGTTCCTTAAATTTTACATACAAAGAGTGATAAACAGGTTTGTTCCAGTTCAGCTGCACGCTGGGAGGCCCCGGGCAGGAAATACTTGAGGAGGCATTACAGTCAGGATGAATATGTAGCTTTACTATAGGCCTACTGTAAATGAGGTTATCAAAATCATCAAAAGTATCTAATTCTTTATGTTTTGAACTATTCAAATAGAGAAGATTATTCTTCTAACTGTTTGCTACTGCTATGGGAAAAAATTAATCCTATTTTACAGCTGGAGAACACCAAAATAAAGGGTTAATGTTGCTAAGGCCACAGAAGGTACCACCATCAGAGCAGGGGTAGGTCCTGACACCTCATGCCCTTTATCTCAGATGGTGATTCATTAAGAGACTGAAACAGAATAAAACTGTGGTTAGAGTTGGAGTTCCAGCCCTGTGCATCAGCACTCAGTAAATTAATCCCTGCCAGGGGGGAACACAGGGACGTGGAAGTGAGAAAACAGAGGCACAGAAAGGCCAGTGCCTTGCCCATGTTCCCAGCAGGTCAGGGGTAGAGCAGGAGACAGGAGCAGCTCTCCCGAGCATCAACCCAGGCAGCACCCAAAAATGCTACATCAAAATGGAAGGAGCTCTCTGACAGGTCTTTGCTCTTACTGTATCAGTCAGGGACTGATTTTGTGACCTCCCAGAACTCAGAGTGGACACCCCTGGTAAAGAAACACTGGACAACTTCACGGGAAAGGCAGGATGTTTTTCTACAGGACTTCCTGAAAAGTTCTTGTGGCTTTTGCGATAGGAGGATCAGAGCTGTTGTCGGAGCTGAAACCCAGCACTGTGACAAGCGAGAGAGCATGGCCCTGAAGGCCTGCTCCAGGGCCTGCTTTTGTTCTCTTCAAATCTACAGGCAAATTAAAAGAAAGAGAAAATAGAAAATCCCAAGTCCCACAAGTACAGTAAAGTGGATAGAAGTGCTGGGCATGGCTGGTGACTTGGGTTATAATGAAAGGGTATGGACACAGTGCAACTGCAGCACATTTCACTTTCTTCCCTGTGTAAAAAATATTACTAAACACATCAAAGGTGCTGGCTGAGCAGTTTTTTAGTCTTAAAATACTTTCGTGTCTTCACTTTTTTTTTTTTTTTTTTAAATTTTTCCCTCTCATGGTGATAACTATATATAAAGTTTTCGAAACTGTTTCACAGGCAGTAAACCCCAAGTATTGCCCTAGCTTGATAATGACATGTTTGGAACTTGATTTAGACTTCACCACTCTACCTAATCTCCAAAAGATTTGATGCTTCCAGCAGCGAGCTTGCAGTCCTTGTAATAAATCCACAAACTCGGACATGGAAGCTACAGCATCTCCAGAAAAGGAGGTCGATTAGAAGTTGTACATTGTAGGTAAACCTACTCAGGGAGGAAGCTGTAAATTTGGACAGCGTTTTTGACAAATTGTGGCAACAATCGTTCTGTGGAAGGGCACTAAGAGGAGCATGTTAATTTAACACCTTATTTTCCCGTAGTTAATAGGGGTCATTGAAGGGGTAATGGGGGTGTCCAGCATCTCTGGCTACAAGCTTTCCATCCACCTGTGAAGTAAACAAGACAAACTCCAGTCAGCAAGATGAAAATCCCTTCTTTACTCTCAGTTTCAAGTTCTCCGTGGTTTAGATTTCCAAACCTTTGTATGCCAAACATCTGGGACTGTACTTTTCAGCTTAAACAAGGGCTGTTCCCTCTTCTCTCAAGTCCTCTTAGCATTTCTTAACAGAAAAGACAGATTTCTGTAGCCTAGAGCAAGAGCCTCTCAAGCTGCAGAGACCTGAAGAACTAGATTAGGAATAGTTAAAAGCCTTTTTTGCCTTGTAGCTGTTCCTGAGTTAAGTGTTGTAACATGCACGCTTCCAAAACACTTCCCTGGAGTTGGAACCCTGGTTTCCACCACAGAGTTGCTGGGCTGCCAGTTTTGAGAGATGGATAAGATGGAAACACACTGGATGACTTGCTCAGGGCCACATCCTGAGGCATTAATAGTGTCACTGCACTCCTTCCTAGCACTTTTTTGCTTAAGAACATTTCCACAGAATGCCTCCATTAGCTTTCAGTATAAAACCTGCATTTCAGAGCAGCAACTGGAACTCCTGCTATGGAACTGTTTAAATTAAACGAGTCGCCTGGGGGCACTGCAGAGCTCAGAACGAGGGTGTCACAGCTTAACATCTGACTAATGCTCTGATTAAAACAAAATAAAGCCGAAATGAAGCTGTCAAGGGAAGGCAGCCCTCGAAACTGTGGACAGAAGTGTCACAGTAGCTTCGGGTTTCCTCGCGTTCTCTTGAGAGCCAACAGCTTTCTCGTGTTCCTAGAATTCAGATTCCTCCTTTCCCCCCCCTCCCAGCTTCTTCCCCCTGCATATTTCTGCACAGCGTGCCGAGACAGCAGCTGCCAGAAGCAATGTTTCACATCACTGACTCCAGTCTGCTCCAGGAATCTGAGGGAAGGAGGGGGGATAAAATCAGCGGTGAACACGCTGCAGGTGAATGGTAGTTTAGTATCAAAAATAGGTCATGATGTGTTACACGACCATCACTCCTCTCCTGGCTTGGCAGTCATTTAAGTTTCACTTCAGTACATTCCTTGGCCAATTATGCGTTTCCAAAAGTTTGGATTTCAGGCAGGTGAAAGGTCATTTCCAACCTCTAACTAGGTAATGAACAGTTAGAAGTATAAAGCAACTTAAATTGCCTACATTCAATGTAACAGCCTCTCCTCAGGCTTTAACACAGCAAGGAAAAGAGAGGCACAACTAGAACAACTTGTCGTTATAGATCAGTGAAGTAAAGCAAGGAGGAACTGTCAGATACAACAGGAGCTCTGCTGTCACTGCCATATCACACTTTGAAATCCAGGCCTGAATCTGTTAAGTCAGATTCATGGGGGAGGATAGGCATGAAAGGTTAGACAGGAATTTTAATTCACAGTTGACAAAAAAATCTTTCCAATAAGCCCAGGAGGGATGGGCAGGAGACGAAAGGTTCCGGTAGAGATCTTACAGCTGCAGAGCCGTGATTTAATTCCCCTCATCTTGCTTCTTCCTGTCTTGTCATCTGACACTGTGGCAGTACCTTTGAAGCCCAGCTGCATCACATCCACCCTCTCTCCAGCTGGATGGGCTGCCACTTTGAACTGCATTTCATCTCTCCTTTGTGAATCCCTGTGATCCCATCAGGTCTCCCAGGCAACAACAGCTCACCCGAGCCGGGCTGCGTTCTAACGCATTTTGCAGTTTCGTTAACAGAAACAACTTTGTTTGCGGCCTAAGTATGAAAACACTTGGAAAAGAAACACCCTGTCAGCAGCAGGTGTGCTCCTCACTGCCACATCCACACAGGGCAGCAGCTAAGCTGACCCATAAGCACAGAGAGAGTCCTGGCTGCAGGGATGTGGGGGGTTATATTTATGCACACACGCAGTTAAAAGTGTGGCCTTGAGGCTCAAAGCGTGACAAACAGTTGGAAGTTGTAACAAGTATCTTAACCTCGATATGAGAGAGTCGTTCACACATTCACAACTTCTCTTTTCTAACTCAGTCACCGATGTGCTCTCAAGTATTCTAAAAAACCACAATGATAAATCCTGGAGAAAAGCTTTCCCCGAGGAATTCCTAAAGAATAATCTACAAGGAGGAGGCAAACTGCTGAAGAGGCAGGGGTATGCCTGACAGCTTCCAAATCTGCTGAGAGATTTCCTGTATCTATGCAGTGTAGGATAGAGAAGGGAGAAATCAGTTCAGGCTCATTTTAGCACAGCTACAGCAGTTCATTACACCTGCCACATGTTGGCCAGTGATGCACCTCTGTTGTGTAGTCAGAAGCAGGACAATAAGAAAGGAGAAACACTAAAGACAGGAGACAAGAAGGCACTGACTATTTTTTTTTGGTGCAGTGAGGGAAAAAGAACAAGGTCGTTTAATATAATAAAAGAAAGACTAAGAGGACTTCGACACTATTGTGAGATAAGGTTTTGTGTGACAGTAAACTGCTGATGCTGAAAGATGCTGCAGCTAATAGATTTGG